TGGTGTTGTTTATTTTGTTGTTGATGCTGGTCGATTTGGTGCAAAAGGTTTAGCAATAACATTTGTTGCAGATGAAACTGAGGCACAAATTTTGAATGAAGTTCAAAGTCGTTTGGAAGTACAAATTGGTGAAATGCCCGATGAAATTGATGTAGTAACACACATCGAAAATCGTTAATTTTCTGGTCTTGCTATTTCGTTCGAATGAAACATGTAAACTTTCTTTTTTCGTCACGGTTGTTGTCATTATTATATTTTGGTTCATTTTTTCTTGTTCTTTTTGTTTTCTTGACAAACAAGACTGCGTATATAAGTGTGTTGAAAAATATGAGTTCTTATAACTCTGTTCATTCAAACACTATGTTTTTCTCTTGTACTTTTTGTTTGATGATATACAAACAAGAAAAAAAAATAAAATATTCTTAGAAAAACATTTCATTTAACACTAGACAAATCATCTGATACTGATTTATTCCAAGGTTTATATACAAACAAATAATGAATTTTATGATTTGTATGTTTGCGCTCTCTATTTGCCATAATATGATTGAGTAAAAATTGACATGTTATTTCGAAAGAAATGTCTTACTTAATCTTTGCTCATTTATTTACAGCTTGTATTACAAAACTACGCACCTATTCCAAATTCTTATTGTCAATATCTACACATTGTATTGTGGATTAATTATTAAACAATGCTAAGTCGGTAAGAAAGTTTTCTTTATCTTTATCTTGATTTTTTTGTGTGTTTTGCATGTATTTAAACTATAGTAGATTATAAGATTAGATGAAGAAAAAAAATTCTGCAATATCTTCACTGCTGTGTGACCTATTCTTTCTCTATTTATTAAAAACTAAATGAAGGCGAAAAGTTTATAAGCGAAGTATGGTTATACGTTTTTTCGAGGAATAATCATCCGAATAAATCCAAGAAAAGATTCGATTAGCTAAAATTTATGGAAGTCTAAGAATAGCTAAGAGACTCGTCCTAATAACTTGTAGGCCTCGTTCTAGTTTTTATTTCATTAGACTTCTATAAAAACCTTATTTACTTGTTATTTTTAATTAAAACAAAAGTAAACTTTTTCTTCTTGTCGATTAAACCAAGTGACACAGTGCCAACAACCAATGATCATCATAACAATTCATCAATAGTTGAAATTCAATCTATGGATACTGATGATTCAGTTTCATCACTTGTTACAATTTGTAATGATGCAGATAAACATGCTAAAGAAAAAGGTCCTATTATGGAACAAGATATCGATGGTTTAGAATATTCATCAGAAGAAGAATATACTAAACGAAATGAAGATCTTGAGAATATATCTTCTATGGGTAGTAAAAAATCAAAATTAGTAAGTTAAAAATTAAAATTATTCATTCACTTGTAAATATTATCATTTTATTTTTTAAAGGATAAAATGATAACAATTCATGATAAAATATATTATCAACCATTTCGTAAAGTTTTTTTATACAGATATATCCGAAATAGCTAACATGACCGAAGCCGGTAAGTAAAATTAAAAAGAAAATGTCTTTCTATTTTTTCTCTCTGTAAACTTTTTTAGAAGTTGCTGCTTATCGAAGAGAACTTGATAATATTAAAATAGTTGGTAAACAATGTTCAAGACCAATAAAAACATGGTCACCATGTATAACATCGGATAAATTTTTACAAATTTTAAAAAAGTGAATTAAAAAAATTTCTTGTTTTTTTTTCTTCCAATCATCATATTTTCTTTAGACACAAATATGAAAAACCAACACCTATTCAAGCTCAAGCATTACCAATTATTCTTTCTGGTAGAAATATGATTGGTATTGCTAAGACAGGTAGTGGAAAAACCTTAGCATTTCTTTTACCAATGTTTCGTCACATAATCAATCAACTACCAGTAGATCGTGGCGATGGTCCAATAGGTAAAAACTAAAACAAACTTTTTTGTTTTCTGAGAAAGTCATTTATTTTTATCTTAGCTATTGTTATAACACCAACTCGCGAATTTTTTTTAGGCACAACTTAAACGTGGTGCAGAGATTATTGTATGTACATCTGGACTTTTGGTTGATATGTTAACTGCTAATAATGGTATGTTGAACAAATTGATTTATTAATGTTTTATGTATTAAATGTTGTATTTTTTTGTTAGGAAGAATAACAAATCTTCGACGAGTCACGTATGTTGTTGTTGATGAAGCTGATCGAATGTTTGATATGGGTTTTGAATCACAGGTAAGAATGAACATTAGTCTATTCCAAGTTTATTATAGAGTAGAAAGATGATTGTTCTTTTTGCTGTCGGAAATTTTCTGTAATAAGTAATTCGATATGCATAGGAGAAAGAAATGTTTTCTTATTTAATTATAGCAAGCCGTAGTTTGATCGTATCGATGAATTTAATGTTATTCTAAGACAATACTTACATAATCGGATCAGTGAAATTATTTGATACCGTGTGTATTTTTTACGCAACTAACTTGGTTACCGGTAGTGAAGTCGAGATTTTTGTCTACGGGGATTGAACGCTGTAATTCCATCATAGTTGCTGGTTCAATAGGCAAATAATGAAAAGTGTATTTCTAATTTCAATGAACTACATTGATAATATCACTCGATCTGCAATGTTCTTTAATACATTTAATAAAATAAATAAAATAAAATAAATTTCTTATTTGATTAGATAATTCTTGCTGATGATGAAGAAAAATATTTAAAATTACTTGAATTACTTGGTCTATATCAATCATAAGGATTAATTCTTGTTTTTGTTGATACACAAGAACATTGTGATGAATTAATGAAAAAATTAATGAATTATCATTATCTATGTATGTCATTACATGGTGGTATTGATCAATCTGATCGTCATTCAATAATAACAGATTTTAAAAATGACGATATACCATTAATAATTGCAACATCAGTTGCTGCACGAGTTTTAGATATTAAAGATTTAATTCTTGTTGTTAATTATGATTGTCAAAATCATTATGAAGATTATGTACATCGTTGTGGACGTACAGGTCGAGCAGGTAATATAGATTATGCGTATACATTTCTTACACGAGCACAAGAACAGAAGAATTAATTCTATTATGGAATGATTATGTTAAGAAAAATGAAGACATGGGTATAAAAGTAAAAGTTCGTGTTAGTGGTTTTAATGGACGAAGAAATTATGAATCTAATTCATTGGAAACACAATCGAAAAACATACAAGCTGCTGCTATGGGTTTAGTAGATTTGGATGATAATGAAAGTCAAATTGTATGTTTTATATTTTAATTTCTTTCTTTACATAATTTCTGACCTTTTTTTTTCTGTTTAGATCGATCAAAAAAATTCAATGTTTATTTAATAAGAGTAAAAAATCTGTTAAAATTAAATGTAATGTACCAATAAATCAAAATGAAGAGATTAGTGATTGGACAATTACAAATGATGTAGCATCGAAACTAGAATTAGCTACGAAAAGAGCAGCTAGGTGAAGTTTATGGCAATATTAGGTGATGACACGCTGATTCTGATAATGCGAGACCACTTTTATGATTCGACTAAGTAGTAAAATCTTACAGATAGAGTACAATCCAATGGAAGAACAAGCAACTCCAAAGTATGGGTAAAGTACAGGAGTCTCGTTTTTTTTTTCTTCTTGGTAAAACCAGAATAGACTAGGATATGATTAGTGTACGAATATTTGCATAATGCAGGCAATATCTCATTTGTTGGACAAACAGAAAAAAAATTGGATAAGATAAAATTCACAAAAGCATAAAAAAACAACAATTTACTTTTTTGGTTTTTATTCAGAAGAAAAATCTGATATCACATCTTACAGCTTTGTCTTTTATGCTTTCTGTTTCTGTAATACTGATCATTGTCGAACTCCGGATCTTGAACTTCCCTTCACTTAACCTTTACAGACAAACTTATTAACATGCCTCTTTAACTGATAAAGCGAATCTAAAAAAACAATCTGATGTCTATAAAATATTTTTTAAAACAGATTGAAGTAAATATTAAACAAAGTCCTTGAGAATATGTCCGCATAAGCAAAAATTGTCTGAACTTTTCAAAGATAACAATCGGAGTTCACTTGTTTTTAGAAATATGTAAGGTAGAGCTCGTGGGATGATTTAGCATTCGGCGCACTTTAGTCATCTAAATATGTGCAAAAATTCCATTGAGGGTATCACACAGCACATTCACATATATGTGCTAATGTTTCCTATTTTGAACAAAACAAACAAAAATATTTAGTATTTTCAATATATACATGAATGTCTTACTTTGCGTATAATTTTCGACCGAACCTTTTGTGGAAAATCATTTATTTCTAATTCTTCTTCAAATATTATCGATGAATTTTCAGTTACTTGTATTTCTTCTTCGGATTTTTGATAATTTAATTTTCGATTTAATTCACTTGCTCGTTGATATGCTACAATATGACTCTAATAAAAAGAAAAAACAATACATTTTATAATAAGTACTCCAAAAAAAAAAACTATCAGATACTTACAGATACAGCTGAATTTAATGTATTAACATGTTGAAATAATGAAGTTATTGATTCTTGTATAGAATCTCGAGCTTTCGATTTGTTCAATGTCAACCTTAAAATAAACATCGAAGTTCATGATTTTTTTATGGGTTCAAACTTGAATAG